GGAGAAAATAACAATATGGGGCACTTAGTTTTTCTGCTAACTGTAAAGTCTACATCCTCAGAAAAAAAGGAAGTATCTTAATTTTTTCATAAACTATTTTAAATATCAATGGCTAATGACAGCCATTTGCCATTCATGTTATACAGATTTGACACAAAATTTCCTTTAGAAACTAAAGTATATAGCCAAAATGCATCAAGTGGACACATTTGTCTCTCTGAATCCTTGATTTCATTTCCAGTGTTTTGAAACAAAAATGGTTAAGTATTTCTTCAATCGTAAGAGTCATATAAATGTATAGCAGGATCAACACATCAACTATAATGAGAACAGAGGGTTTTCAACAAAGTAAACCCAATTAAGGAAATTTCTACTCAGTTAATAACATTGACTTAAAAAAAATGACACTGTCTAGCCCTAGCCAGTATGGCTCAGTTGGTTGAAGCTTTGTCCCATATACCAAAAGGTTGGGGGTTCAATTCCAGGTCAGAGCACGTACCGAGGTTGTGGGTTTAATCCCCCTTTGGGGCATGATTGAGAGGCAACAAATCAATGTTTCCCTCTAACATCAATGTTTTTCTCTATTTCTCTCTCTTTAAAATTAATAAACATATTTTTTTCTCAAAGGAAACTGTCTAGCCCTGGCTGGTGTGGCTCAGTAGACTGAGTGCCAGCCCGCAAACCGAAAAGTCGCTGATTCAATTCCCAGTCAGAGAACATGCCTGGGTTGCAGGCCAGGTCCCCAGTAGGGGATGCACAAGAGGCAACCACACATTGATGTTTCTCTCCTTCTTTCTCCTTTCCTTCCCCTTTCTCTAAAAATAAATAAAATTAAAAAATAAAAATAAAATAAAAAAGGAAACTGTCTAGTTGTTCAACCAGTATGCCACAAGAATTTTTAAAACATGCAATACACTTGACTAGTCAGGGCACTGACCTCTTTTCCCTTAAACTGTCAAATAAAAAAAATTACAAGAGCCAACAACTATAGCTGTCAGGTGTGAATGAATCAAAATTGTATTATTTTTTTAATTGGATCGACAACAAATATATTTTTTGGTGTGTTCCAGATGAGATGAAAAAGGCTGAAAATCATTGGTCTAGATTAAAAAAATTATTGAAAGCTTACAGAACTTTTTAAAAAGTTCTAACAGTACTTCAAATTTGGAACAAACAATTCTGTTCAAAGAGCTCAACCCCAGAGAACTATCACAAAATTATTGTGGTATATAAGAGAAAGGACAATTAGGCTACATTTTAGCCATGGAAAACTGAACAAGGAAATGAGATGTCATGACAAATTTTTAAAATCATTTCTCATTTTCTGACATAACTATTTTCTGTGTAATAGTACAGAAATTAACTTTTCTTTACAAATGACCAGATACCACAGTTAGACATCTATCTATATTACCAATTGCAACATATAAGTCCCAAATTACTCTTTTTTCCCCAATCGCTTAAATCTGTTTATCTTTTCTTCTTCCTATGAGTTATTCCAGGCCCCTTTGACATCTCTTCTCTGTTCTCAACAGAACTAAGCTACTTTTAAAACACCCTAGAATATCTTTCACCTGCAACATCACAATCTGTATCTTCCTTCTTCCCTATGACTTCTATGGGAAATCCTAAACTATTTTTAAAAGGGGTGCACTTAGATGTTTAAAAAATAATAATAATAAAGGAATTCACAAAGTCACAGGTTATTGTGAAATAAAAAGTTTGAGGAGCTTTTCTTCTCCCTGTTTTCTAAAATGCAGTTATAGAAGAGCATTTAATTTAAATGTTATATATTTTAAATGTTTCTAATTAATTCACTCAGAATTCAATACTTTGGGTAAATAATTTTCAATCCTCTCACCTAACTTTTTAAAAGAATAAGTATCTTCAATCTTTCTCATCCAGGTGCCAATCACTTCATTTTTAATACTTTTTTGTTAGTTACCTATGACAAAATATGCTGAGCACACAAGTTACCATTTTAGCCATTTTGAAGCGTACAATTCAGTGTTAATAAGTACAATGTTGTGCAACCACTACCACTATCTATTTCCAGAAATTGTTCATCATCCCCCAAAAACCTCTGCGCCAATTAAACAGTAACTCCCTGTTCTCTCCTACTCTCAGCCCCGTTAACCTCTATTACACTTTCTGTCTCTATAAATTTGCCTATTCTAGGTACCTCATATAAGTGGAATTGTACAATATTTGTCCTTTTGTGCCTTCTTATTTCACTTAGCATGTTTTTAAGGTTCACCCATATAGCATGTATCAGATTTCATTCATTCTTAAGGCTGAATAATATTCTATTGAATGTATATACCACATTTTTTAATCTACTCATCTTTTAAAAAGATTTTACTTATTTATTTTTAGAGAAAGGGGAAGGGGAAGGGAGGAAGAAAGAGAGGGAGAGAAACATCATGTGTGGCTGTCTCTCAGTAAGCAACCCTCCTGGGGACCTGGCCTGCAACCCAGGCATGTGCCCTGACTGGGAATTGAACAGGTTACCCTTTGTCTCACAGGCTAGCACTCAATCCACTGAGCCACACCAGCCAGAGCCATTCATCTCGATGGCCATTATACTTTAATATATTTTAAAATAACACAATACAGTGTGAAACAATCAAAATTAAGCAAGATTCTTCAAAATGGGCAAGCAGACAAAAGAACTACAGAGAGAAAAGAGTTGAAAGCCATGTACTGATTGAGAAATTAAAAAAAAAAAACAAAACTGTAAGAAACACCACATCTTCACCCTGGCTGGTGTGATTCAGTGGACTGAGCGCCAGCCTGCGAACTGAAAGGCCACTGGTTCGATTCCCAGTCAGGGCACAAACCTGGGTTGTGGGCCAGGTCCCGGGTTGGGGGCATATGAGAGGCAACTAATTGATTTTCTCTTGCACGTCAATGTTTCTCTCCCTCCCTTCACCTATCTCTATAAATAGACATCTGCAATCCAAACTGCTTTAAAAAAATTTAAGAAAATAAAAAACCAGCACATCTTCAATAAGCACAGCATCCAATTTCATTCAACAACCTGCCTAAAAACTTTTTTTTTTCTTTAAAGATTTTATTTATTTATTTTCAGAGAGAGGGGAAGAGAGGAGAGAAACATCGATCAGTCTCCAGAAGGAAGCAGAGTCAGCTGTGATAAATAACACTGAGAAGAAAGGTGAGAATTGAAAGTCCCATGGAGTTAGCAAAATATCAGTCACTAATGACTTAGAAATTACTGTGTTGTGGTCACATAAGTGCACCACCATCTTTTTTAATCTACTATTCTTTATTCATTTACTGTTCTTGCCTGCACCCTAGAAATAATAATGACAAGTTTAAAGTCACAGGATCTCACAGTATATTAGGGCTGGATGACCCCACAACTGGCATTCTGACATAAAGGACTGGCGAGGTCTGATCTCTACATACCAGATTTCCTGACCTACTTCTCAGTGTGTGTCAGGTCTAATTTTATGAAGAGAAATGAAATCTCTAGTTCACTCTTATAAGGCCCAATAGTGTCATAAAAGGATATCAGAATACCTTAGCAGAATTCATTCCTCAGAATCACAATAATCACTTATCTTCTTTCCTACAGCCTTATACAAATTGATCTGTAATTCAATGGGTATGTGCTTTAATTGTAATCTCATAAATCCAACTAATTCAAATAAAAACAGAATTAAAAAAAAACTTAAGAATTATATTATTGACAAATTTTAAAATAATTTACAAAAAATGTTTAAAAGCTAATTCTCCAAATGCATTTTAATGTTTTAATTTACAAATGTTCACACAATTTTTCAGGGACATACATATTAGAGTGATACACTAATTTAAACTTTATATTTTATATCAATAAAGCAAACCTAATTTATTCCCAGTCTACTGACATTTGGCCACAAATCAAAACAAAAAAATTTTAACTGCATTAGCAAACAAAGGCCAATAAAAAAATCTTAAACTGAATTTCGTGTTAAAGAAAATACGTACTGATATCTAGAACTCGCATATGATTTATCGAAAAATATGCTGTTGTTTATTTACAAATATATCTGCATAAATCACTATTTCTCAATAGGACTACTACTGGCATTTGAGCTGAACAATTCTTGTAAAAGAATGTAAAAGACTGTCCAGCATGATGGGAGACATTTAGCACCCCTGCTACCTTCCTATTACATGCCATAGTGCTCCCTTCTTTCTAGTCACTGTGACAATCAAAAACAGCTCCCCATAATTCTGAACACTTCCCCTAAGGGCATTATACAAAATCGCCCCAAGTTGAGAACTAGTAGCAGTTTTAAAGCACCGCAACCTTTTCTATCTTAATGAAAATCTCTTAATGTAGACTCCCAGATGTGTGCCTTAACCTATAAATCATGTTGAATAATTTTAACAGTTCTTGATGACTAAGGGTCTTGATTATGAACAGTGACTATTACGTGCTTTTTTAATGTAAGACTCTTAGAAATTAAAGAAAAAAAAATTATGTTTACCTTTGACATTATATTAATTGACCTCAGGCTGGGGTCAATTAATAATAAGACTATCATCCAAAATGTACACGTGTGCGTGTGTGTGTGCGTGTGTGTGTTTTCCATTGCAGTGTTTGTGGCCAAGGTTATTTCTTTCCAGACTGCCTATTTCTAGTGCTCTTCCTGCATTAGAGTATTTTTTATCTGCTAGTAACCAAGCTTATTAAATCAAAAGCCTGACTTGATAGATGAAGGCTTGAAGATGGCTCTAGGCCTTCCTAAGAATTAAAGTGCATGGGTGTAAAGATAGTTACCTTCTAAGAATTTTTTAAAACTTACTTTTAGTTTTACAACTGTGCTATGACTGAAAAACTCCAAACATCTGACAACTGAATAAATTAGAAATTAACAATGCAGTTATCACTAAATAATCAATCTGCAGAACTAAATTTTACTGCTGTACACTAAAAAATACTCTAATCGTTTATTATAATTATTACTAATAATATTTAAATAACTCACCTGATTTCTTTTAGTCCTTCTCTCTGGATAACTTGAAGAATTTCTTTATGACTCATGGGTGTATTGGGGTATTTTTCTAAGACCTGAGAAACAAGTATATAATAATAAATTATTTCTTATTTTAAGTTCTATTCTTATTATAATTATCTATTTAAGTATTTTTTTATTCTTATTAAAACTACATATTATTTAATCTAGCATATACATATCCAGAGACTTTTTATCCCTTACATTTGGGGATAGTAAGTAGAAAATTAATGGACTATAAATAGGATTTCCTCTCCTTCATACACAAACAAGTCAAACCTGAAGCAGAAATAGGTCAAAAGGATGATTAATAACTCAATTATTCATTAATGCAAAATATGAAATTATGTGTACATTCTGCCTCCACCCCTGTATCACATGTCTACCTGTGACCCTATTACAAGCACCTTAAAGATTGTCCATCTTCACTTTTCCAGCAAAGCCCAGTAAAGCATGGTTGTTTAAAAACTTGTAACAAAAACAAATTAACAATACAGTTATAATAAAATCAAAATGTTATCTGTGTTCTGGTTCTGATAAAAATGAAGTAAGCACAATTTATCCTGTGTCTCCCACTCAGTACATACAACTAAAAACCTAAACAGAATACATGGAGCAACTATCTGAGGACTCTGAAAATGAACTTGAGGGAAGAAACAACTAGGAGTACTAACCCAGCAGTGAGTTTCATGGTTTTGTTTCCCTTGGGACTACTCAATCTAGATTCAGTGGCAGTCCAAACTCAGAACTGCACTCTCAATGCAGGCAGAATTGGCTTCAAGAGAAGTCTTCTCTTTTTTGGTCTGAGGAGTAGTTAAGGGGGAGAAGGATCCTCTGGGGTTTTTTTCCTTTTCTCTTGGGCCCCGTCCCCAAGCAATCCAAAGGCAGCAGTTGTGGCAGTGATGATAACAGCAATGGCTAGACAGGGGCCTAATACTCAAGAACACAAAACCTGCCAGGCCCCGTGAGTGTGAAGGGAATCCCCATGGCTTACATTCTTTCTCTGACATCTTGCTGCTTGGGAAAGTAGGCAGATGCAGTTATGGAAGTGTGCAAGAAAACAAAGAAATGACGCAGGAGGAGTAGGTTCTCTAGGAGACAGAAAGCGTCAAGGGGCTTGCAAAAATAAAGGAGCTCAAGAAAGATACCATGAAGTTCCATAAACATTCATGCCATCAGAGCCCCAAAAGGAGAGGAGAAAGAATAGAGCAGACAAAATATATGTGAAGAAATAGCAGAAAACTTCCCAAATTTGGTGCAAGATCTACATTTAAGATTTCAAGAAGATTGATGACTCTCAAACAACCTAAGTTCAAAGAAATCCATACCCAGATACATCACTAAAAACTAAAACTAAAGACAACAAAAAAATCTTTAAAGCAGACAAGGGAAAAACAACATTTCATTTTGGAGAACAACAATTTAAGTGGCTGTGGATCTCTCATCAGAAATCATGGAATGCAGCAGCAGTGGAAAACCATGCTAAAGAGCTGAAAGAAAAGGACCCAGCAAAATCCAAAACTGCTATCTAGCAATGTTATCCTTTAAAAATGAAGTGGTGTCTTGACTTGTATAGCTCAGTGTGCTGGGCATCCTCTCGCAAACCAAAAGGTCACCGGTTCAATTCCCGCTCAGGGAATATACCTGGGCTTCTAGCCAGGTCCCCAGTGCAGGGCATGCAGGAGGTAACTAATCAGTATTTCTCTCCCTCTTATCTCCCTCCCTTCCCCTCACTATAACAATAAATAAATAAAAGCTTTCAAAACATTTTTGTATGCCTTTTTAGTGAGGACTTAACTGATTTTCCAGGTATACCACTTTTTAATAAAATAAAATAGAAAAAAAGTTAGTTAAAACTACGGGATGTTTACTTTCTTTAAAAAAAAAAAAAGTTTACCACCAGTTCCTTTACATATTAGACATTTAACATTGATTTTAACTTACAAAATTATTTATGATAAATTTTCTCAATATTTAGAGCTATAGCCCTGGCTGGTGTGGCTCACTGGACTGAGCACTGGCCTGCAAACCAAAATGTTGCTGGTTTGATTCCAAGTCAGGACACATACCTGGGTTGTGGGCCAGGTGCCCAGGTCGGGGTATATGAGAAACAACTGATCGATCTCTCTCACACACATCAATGTTTCTCTCCCTCTCTTTCTCGGTCCCTCCCCCTCTCTCTAAAAATAAACAAAAATCTTTAACTAAAAAAAAAAAAAAAAAAAAGTGTGGCTTACCTCCTTTCAATAGCTTAATATTTTTCCATCTTTTCACTTTCATTTGACTTTTAATTCACTAATTTTTAATAAGAAAATGTACAAATACATGAGAAAAATGTAGAGACACACTAGCAAAACCCAACAGGGGAAAATGGAGGGGGAAAAAATGGCTGCATATATTTCTTAGCTAAAATACAGTATTCCATTACAGTACTTTTACAGTATTATCACTGTACTATAATACTAATGCATATTTTTTTAACCACAGTTTTCATTTAAGTGGGAATACTAGGTTTATAAAAAACATTTAGCTTAGTTTAACCACAGGAGGGCAGTGTTTATCAAACAAAACATCACTCCATTGGAACTGTTCAGGGAACTACATGATAGAATTTTTAGTAATTATGACAATCTGAATAACTGCTCAGAAGAGTTAAAATCAACACTAGCTGGAATTAAAGCATAATAAATTGTTTTCTAAAGCATGCTTAGTATCTCATAGAATCTCACATCTAGCTAATAAAAAGGATACAAAAATTATATTGTCTGAGTAAAGAATAACCCAGATAGCCCCTAAGATTTGACTTTGACTCAAGCCTTAACAACAGTATTTCAATTACTGCTGCATTTATGAGTTCATTCCAGATATAGAGATATATAGAACCTGCATTCTGTGTAGTCTAGATAACTTTATTTTACATTTAAAATGCACAGATAAAACATGGAAATCTTTACAGATTTACTTTAGTGTTATATGGCTTATTTACTGTCCAAAAGTTTTAATTAGGTTAACCAATGTCACAGCAGTGAAAGAGTTCACCTAGGAGACACGGAGAACAGAAGTGATGACAGCCTATGTTACAGAACCAATACACCAATGTTTAAGAGTCAGAGAAGAAAATCTAAGAAGTGGCCAGAGAAACTGGGAAAGAATCAGAAGAACATGTGCTTCAGAAAAGACAAAAGCATTCTAAGGAGGATGAAGTGATCAATGATGTCAAAAACATCCTGGAAGTTGAAATGACTTCAAAATCCACTTTATTTAACAATGAGCTCTTTAATTAGCTTTACTAATTCAGCTTCCATTTAATCAGGAGGGAAGAAATCAAACTTGACAGGGTTTAGCGCTGACTGGGAGGCCCAGAGGTGGCATCGGAGTTAACACAACTCCTAGAACAGTGAAGGAAATACGTCGAGGAATTATGTCAAATGGATATGAACAAGTTTGACTGAACAAGGATAAAAGGAGAAAGACAACAGTATCCCTAGTTATCCCAATTTTCCCCCTCCTAGTATGGGAGGCCAATACAATAGATTCAGATACAAATGAGGGAGAAATTCCTCATTATTCAAACTTGTGCTACACCTTGACACTCAGAAACAAAATTAATTCAGACGATGCAATATTGCTCACCTACCAAATCCACTATACAAAAACACTCACTGTGTGAGTTCAGGAGCTGAACAGTAATAATGAATGCATGAAATTTAGGCAGAAGAAATAACTAAGAAAGCCACATATTTGAAAAAGAAAGAGGGAAAAGGACCTTACCTGGCTGCTTAGCAGTATCTCTTGATCACTACCTCTGTCCTGAGATGCACTTCTCTGTTCAGCTCCTGTGACACCAGACTCTCCCTGTTTCCCTTCTACCAGCTACTTTTCTTTCTCCACAATTTCAATGTTGATCTTCCTCAGGATTCTCTTGTCTCAATTTCTACTCTCCTTGGACATTTTATTCTCCCATGATTTTAAAAATAATTATGCTCCTACAGGAGTACTCTATACATCCCCAGTAGTGCCTACGACACTGTATTTATTGTAATTGAATTTTAAATCATCTCTCCTGCCCTCTGGTACATAAGCTCCAGGAAGACTGGGACCATCTGTCTTGTTCATCAGGTAACTCTAGTGCTGATCTATCGTAGGCCTAAAACGTGATGGCTGACTGGTGGAATTAGGAACATGAGCTTTAGACAATAGTAAAAATATCTTTTATTGTTTTTTTGTTTGTTTTTTAACAAAAAAGATGAAAGGTGAGTGCAATTGCAAACAGGTTTGTAGATTCGGGGGAGAAGCTTGAATATTTACATATAAATATGTACAGAGAAGCAGCTACAGAAAACCAGAGAAGATTACACAGGCTGGCTTCATAAGCTCAGGGACCACCTTAAATCAATTCTGAAGAGCTCTATCAAGTCATTCTGATATAGTTCATTCTTAGCTTAGATTCTTTTTACCTGATGATCCAACAAATTCGGATGTTATGTGCACTTCCTAGTTAAAGCAACAACGTTCTCAAAACCTGATTCTCCTGGCCCTTGCTGCTTAGCACAGTTGGTTAAGAGTGTTGTCCTGATAACACCAAGGTTGTGGGTCTGACCCCCAGTTAAGTGCACATACAAGAACCAAGCAGTGAATGAATGAATAAGTAAAACAACAAATTGTTTTTCTCTTTCTCCTTTCTCTTTCCCTAAAATCAATAAACTCCAAAAATTTTTTAAGATAACCTAATTTTCCCCAAACTCTTTAGACTGAATAATAACACTTAAAGTTTATCTAGGATTTAAGTGCCAGATACAGTTCTAAGTGCTTTACATATACTAGCTCATTTCATCTTTACAATAAACCTATGAGGTAGGTACAATTATGGCGTATTTTTTTTCAGATGTGAAATCTGAGGCACAGAGAAAATAAGTCACTTGACCAGTCACATCAGCTAGTAAGTGATAAGTGATGGAGATTCATTGCTCCTAATAAGCCTTAGACTATATATACTCCCTTCTCCATCAGTTACCCTAACATTAACTCTTACTTTAATGGACATTTACTAAGAAGT